TTCCTGAGGCGGCCTGGGCTTGCTTTCTGTCAGGCTGGGCTCCTGCGGGGTGACACTGGAGGAGGTAGCCTGAGGGAGCCTGTGCCCAGCTTGGGTGCTGGGCTAGTTGGGGTGCTGTTAAGGCGCACTGGTGAGTGGGTTTTGTGGATTTTTTTTTGCTGTCTCTAGGCTCCTGTAATGCTGCAGTTAAGGTCAGGGAGAGTGGTAACTGCCAGCAAGGTGAAGTCGGCTGACAGGACGGTCACCGGCCCAAGCTCTCTGGGTGAGGGGGTAGGACGTGAGCTAGGGAAAAAGTTGGTAGTCAGGCAAAGTCCTCACTTGGCACCAAAGAGAAAATGTGAGCAGCCCTTACCTTCCTGTCTGCAACCTGCCGTGCTCTCCAGCGTGTCCTGTGAGCAATTTGCTCCTCTTGTGTCCATGCAGAAGGAGCAAGGTGAGAGTAGCCAGAGACTCCCAGGTAAAAAATCCAAGGGGATGCATTGCAGGAGGGCTGCTAGAGGCAGCAAAGGTGTAGCTCTGCCAATTTCAGATGCTCCTGTGTGTGAAGATTGGCAGGCAGCGACCACGGCTGCAGCAACATGCTGGGAAGAGACTGTAAGGAGAGGGACAGGACAAGGTCAACAGCTATTCTTCTCAGAAACTACTTTGCAAAATAAATTCTCAGAAGAAATTGAAAGGAAAGAACATAGTTCAGAAGGACTGAACCTCTCAGGTTTCCAGGAGAGTTCAGGAAGCTCAGGAAAAAAAGGCAAATATTCCTTTATGGAAATAAAATTACAAATCCCATCCTCAGAGCAGGAAATTGAGAGCACAGAGAGCCATGGCATTTCCTTTTTGCCAGAACCAGAGGTGCTGCAACCCAGAAAGGGCGCATGTAGTAGTGAAATGAAAAGCACTGATTCCATAATGATACTGGAGATGCAAATCCCAGATCTTAAGAAGAATTTGGGGACTCAGGAATCCTTGTCTGAACCAAAACCTCAGGAAGAGGTAGATACGCCAGAGAAGTTGGATGGATGTTCTTTAATTGGATCAAAAAAGCCAGGGACATGGGAGAAAGGAAGGAGATGCTTGAGCAAGAAAGGCAGGACATCTTTGATGAAACCAAAACTACAGGGTCCCAGAGAGCAGGGTAGATCTGCCGTGCTGGAACTGCATAAAGAGTGTCCAGAGTCCAAGAGAGGACCTGTGAGTCTGAGAAGGAGGGGCAGAAATGCACTGGTGTCACAGCGACTACAGGGTCTAAGTGGCCAAGAGCAACCAACAACCAGAGGAGAGATGCACAAGTGTTGCATGAAAGAGCAGCAGAACTCAAACCTTCAGAAAGGAACAGAAAGCCTGGGTGAAAGTGGTAAGCACTTGTGCCCCATTGTAGAAGTACAGGTGCAGAATTTGGGCTCCCATGACAAGGGACTGGTGCTGCAGTAAGGCCCCATTAAAATGTGAAAAAACAGGAGATACTTTTTCTTTTGCAGATGGATCTGTGTGGGACAAAGTCATGGGGGCAGGAAAGAATGGCCTGTACCCTGTCTCAAAGTGACTTTTAGTGTCTGGCTGCTTTACTTGGTTCAAGAAGCGTAGAGATAAGAGCTAGGGTCTGCTTTACAGTACTGTGAATGCCAGTCTTAGAAGAAAACAGATTTTTAGGAAGAGGAAAGGCGTTTCTTGAAGGAGAAAAGCAGTTCTTTAGCACAAAGGAAAGGAGATCAGATACCATTTTGGGGAGCGGAGGGAGGCAGCAACAGGCCCCAAGTAACAATTATTTTTTTTAAATTAGTTTCCCTCAAAAGCAGTCATTTCATTTATGTGTACCTGGTCAGGCACAAGCAGGAGAGGAGGCAGTAGTTTCAGCAAAACCAAAATAACAGATAGTCGATTCTTCATTCATCTGTATATTATTTGATTATTTTTGAATATGTATGATGCTGTCTTGTTTTAGTGTTTGCTTTTATAGGATGCTGGTTTTTGTTTTCAGAACTTGTTGCTTTTAGTTGCAGTTCTCAGCAAAATCCTAAAAGATGTAGAAACAAAGATTGTGTTTTGGTGTTTTGAGAGAGCATTGTATCAAACTGGAACAATTTTGAAAGAGGATTTTTAAAAGTCTCTTTTTTGGGGGACAGTTGTCTGAAACACATTCTTTTAACGTTCAAAGGGGGTACATTCAAATATTTGCTGTAGGTTATTATTAATAAATATTTTATCTAAAAACCATATTCTGAAAAACTGAAGTATTAAAATTGTCTTACTTTGAAAGCTAAGATCTAAGAAAATAAACATTCTGCTAGTACATTCTTGAGTCCATTCTGTGGACAAAGTTTTCAGATGTACAGGTTTTTTACATAATCTGTATTTGCTTTGAAAGAAAAAGTAGTACTTCATAAAAATGCAAATCCTGCAATTTTCGTGGATCTTAAACCATCTGATGCATTTGGTTGGATTATATATCTGAAATAAATTACTATATTCTTATGAACAAACTTTCCTATTACAGAAAATCTACTGTGTAAACAAACGATTTTAAGGCTGAGTGTGCAAACAGGATCTGCGTTTTCTTGCTGGACTTGCTCTAATTTGCTTTCCACCTATGTTTTAAATAACAATTTGGAATGTCCTTTTGAAACCTTAAGGTTCTGTTCATCTTCACATTTGTTTCTGAAGACAAAACATCATTTGTTACTGTAAGTCTGCTAATAGTGGTAATTTTTTTTTAAAAAGTGTAAAACTTTACAGAAATGTTTTAGCCTTATACAGTGTCATGTTCTTTAGTAGCCTTGAATGTTTTTTGTTCTCTTTATGAAATACTGCAATAGGGTCGCCTTTTTTCCCTTGGCATATTCTTTAATGACACTTGTTTATTTTTTAATCAGCCAAGGAAAAATGGAAGGCAATTGAGCAAGACTCCAGTACGCAGGCTGTGAAGAAGCTTAAGACAAATCGAAAGAGATCAGAACATTCCAAGGAAAAGGAACCTCCCTGCTCTAAATCTCCTACGGTTGCTACTTTAGGTGGGACTCAAAGCAAGAGCTTTCTATGCTATCCTGTAACAAAAAAGTCTGGTGCGTGGTGTAAAAAAAGGAAACCCAGAATTGATCAAATCAGGTGCTTGCAAAGTTTTAGTGTGACTACAGCTGAAAAAGTGAGAAATGTATCTGCAGAATGTGATGCTGAACATTGCAGAAATGCCCTAAACCATGACAACAACTTGCTCTGTGCAACAGAGAAGAATCCATTTGTGAGATTAGAGGCCTGTAGTTACATTGATACATTTGTGAAGTCTTCAGCTAGTGGAACTACCAGCAGTTTTAAATTAAGTGGATTCTTCCATGTAGCCCAGGATAAAAGAAAGCATGGTTTTTCTGATTGTACTGTAGAACAGAGTGATGTGAATCGCAGCACTAGTAGAATGCGAAAAGAGAGATCCCCCAAAAAAGATGGTTTATTGCTTAATAAAGAAGAACCTCAAAACAGAGAAGGATGTTTTTCATACTGTCAGAGTGAAAACAATAAGTCTTTAAGGGGAAAAAAGTGGAATATTGGTAGAAAGCCTGAAAAAAAGATGAAAATGGCTGAGAAATCAGCAGCACAGAATGTTTTCACAGACATAGCTAATGAATGCAGTGAGTGTGAGTTACAGATGGAAGCGGCAGTTGCCACGTCAAGCTCCTTTGCAGTCTTAGGACTAAATCATAAAGAAATTACTCTGTCACCTTCAAGTGATCGTACATCAAATCTTCCTATAGGAAAAAATACTCATGAAGCGCAAAATACATCAGTCTGGAGAAAGAATGGTACCAAATTGCTTGCATTTGAAGATGGCTCTAAGAAGACATCTGAGCTCTCTGTAATAGCAAAAGGAGAAAATTCAAATAGTGTGGCACATCATTGTGCTGCCTCAGGTAGCCTGAGAGTGCTAGCTCAGGTCCATGATGTTTCTAATTGTCACAAAAGCGAGATGGATGAAAAATTGAACAAAGTTAATAAGAAACTACAGCAGTTTACTTGTCAAAGAACAGTACCTATGTCTGGTAAAAATGTTTGGTCTCTTAAATCTTGTGCCAGGACTTCTGAATGGGTTCATAAAAATTGTGGGTCCATCTCAGAAGGAAAAAGACTTTTAAGGGCTGCCTCCGAGGAATCCTCTGATAAAGACAGTGTTAAAACTGTAGGAAACAGTGCTGTGACTGGGAATTTGAGACGGTTGGATTTGGATGTGTCGTTGGCAGAAATTAACAAAGAATCTACACATAAAATAATGGATTCAAATACTGAATATCTGACTTCACTTGAAACACCAGAATCCTCTTCCGTGGATATTGATGAGACTTCGAGAATAAGCAGTGAAAATGTGGAATCACCAGTTAATAGGGATAGAAACGCCGTGGCTTTTAAGCATGATGATGTGCAAGAAGTTAAAGCAACCTTGAATTTTGCGACAAAAGAAAAACGTAAAAGTAAAGGAGCTGTAACAAAAAGAAACCTGTCTGTGACAGTCCAGAATGGTACATCTACAGGTAATGCAAACAGAATAAACTTTAGCTGGAAAGCATCAGTAGTGAACCAGACATTTTCTGATTTAAAGCTAACGAAAGATTTAAACGCTGGAAACCTGACTAAATTCAAAATTCCTTTATGCAAAAACAAACCTGAATCCAGGAAATTGAAATCTATCTGTTCGTTTGAAAGAAAAACCTGTAGTCCACTGGAGCTTCTTGACAGGACTAGTGTTTCAAGAAGACAGAAAACGGGTGAAGAGACTTTTTTGATAAATTCTGAGCAGCAGCCTCTTCCTGTCACAAGTGGAGCTATGTCTACAGCTTCCATGAAGAAAAAAATGGATGAGATCAACAGTGAGGACTTTCAGCATGATGGCTCTGAAAACCTTTCAAATGAGATGTCTGTGCTCCCTGAACGTTTTTCTTTATATCCACATCCTTTTCATGACAGACAACTAGAGTCATCTTTGCCTGATTTCTGTGGTACTGAATGTGTACTAAAATCTAATTTTCCTGATCGTTCTTGGAATGCAGTTGACAACCCTGTTGCATTAGAAATAAATGATGATAGCCAATCAAGAGGGAATCTTTCACAACACAAAAGTCAGAATTTTCCAGATATTCTTGAAGCTTACAAAGAAGATGTTCTTGTCATTGATGTGATTCAGAATGACCCCGACCTTTTTGGAACCAATAATGAAGAGGAGCTTGCACTTGCAGACAGTGAAAATTGTCCCGCGCAGGCATCCACTACAAGCATCTGCATTAAAGACAAAAAGCAGGACCTTAAGCCCAAGTATCCTGTTATCTCAGAAAACAGCAATTCAGTACATGATAATTTTAGGTATGCATATCATTCATTTTATTACAATACTCCTAAGTACTTTGTTCTCATATCAGTATACTTCAATTGTAGTGGTCAGACTTCCTTACAGAATTTCACTAATTTCTGGGTTGATTTTAAGTGTCAAAATTTGATTGAAGTATGACAGTATTCTGAATGCAAATAAATTAATTTGTTCTTCATAAGAACTAGGGTAAACCCTGAATCAGAGGAAAATGTAGTCCTAAAGAATTGATTTAGACCAAGTGAAGTGAAATATGAAAGTATGAACAAAGCTAAGAGTAATATTTGTAATAAATAACTTAATTTTTAAATACCTGACTTGATTGGAGATAGCAGATATCCCTTTGAGGGTAGTTGTTTAGTTGTGAAGTGGTATAATACTTTGAAATATTTTTTACTTTCTAGGTGTAACTTACTCTTGCTGGATCTGTATGAGTAAATGGTTGTCTCTACAGTCGTACTCCATTCTGCCATTCTCCTCGCCTGCTTTTCTTCTCTCCCCAGACACGTGAATAGTTTTAAAATCTGTAATTGGGCTAACACGTTATAGATGTTTACGATCCTACATCTTTATTCAGCAAGTCCCTGGTCTAAATTATTAGGCATTCATGTTTTTCTGGGATTTGAGATGATAATAAAAGTCACTGAAGGGGGAAAGTATGTTTAAAGTAAAAAAAAAAAAAAAACTTTTGTAAAAGAGGTAGTAGTCCTTTCTGGGCTAGATGAGCTCATCAACTGTCTAGTCCTCGACACTTGTGTTTGATAAATGAGTTTTAATCTTAAGTTTTTCATCTTATGAAGAAAAACATAAAACTTAGATAGAAATGGTACAAGATTTTCCTCTGAAGATTAGGGTTTTTTTATTGGGAGGGATGTTTTAATTTTCTTACTCTGCTCTTTCTGGGTGGCTTTATGTTATCCTTATTTTAAATAATGTTTTTATTATTTTCAACATTGTACCATCTTAGAACTGCATTCTTTTTTTTTTTCTTTTTTTTTTTTTCCTCTCTTAGCCTTTTCCCTTCATTAAACTTAAGGGCAAAAAAGGAAAAGAATCATCTTTGCAGTGCTGAACAATTTTTTAGACATGAAAATATAAAACTTTCGGATGCTAATAGAATAAAACTTCTGCCAAAACAAGCCTCTGAAGAACAGGGAGAGTCTAGTAGGAGCATCCAACTGCTTAAGAAGCAGCTAGGCTATATCATAGTAAATTTATTAGAATGAATATTCATTTTGTGTACAGTGCATATTATATACACTGTATAACAGAATGAGCATTCGTTGTATATTACCCCAAGGTAATAATGGCTGTTCAGAGGTGGTTTCCAACTGACTGTCCAGACAGCTGTTGCACAAAATGGAAGATTAGAACTTGTGAGCCCTTTACGCTCATGTATTGGTTATGGTAGTAAAGTTTTCTAGTTACATAAATAGTAACTCAAAATGTTATTGGATCTTGTAAGAACTTTGTAGGGACGACAAATACTCCCTTTAATTAGTAATGACATTGAGTTAGAGTAGCATTATCACAACCATTAGATGGATGAAAGCTGAACTTGTTTGAAGTCGTACTTCAGCTTTCTTCCTGGTATCTGCTGAATTTGCTTGCCATCAGCCAAGGAAAATAAAAATACATGGTTCTTATTTCTTAAAATTTCCCCTTGATTTGCCAAAGAAGCAGGCAAAGTTGTCTATTTTTGCTTTTTACCTTCCATGATTTGGTGCAAAGTTCATTAGACAGTGACTAATCATAGTTGGTAACAGTCAGGAACGTATTAAAGAACTGAATATGAAAATATTAAAGTATGGCAATAGAGCTTACCACAGTTTTATCAGGTAGCTTATGATATCACAAGATAATACCAGATAATGGCCAGTTCATACTGTTGTTTTTTACTTTGTTAGTATTTGCCCGATACAACTGGGACTTCAACTTTGTTTGGCCAACCAGAAAAAGTGATTATGCCCGCATCATACTACGTATTTTAAAACAAAATATTATTTCTGTTAATATCCCTTTTTTTTTCTTTAGACAAGTTCTAAAGAAATTATCTATGTTTTCTTTTTTGACTTCTTACGTTATGCATACTCAGTTTTGCTTCATTGCAATATTAGTTTGCGACACCGCTTCAATCTGTGCACGTAGAACAGTGAATCAGAACTACACTATTATAAACCATCTCTAACTTGTATAAACATTAGTTTATATGCATATTTTATTTAACATTTGGTTAATGTTAGCCATTATACTCTAGATGAATGTGATCTAAGTGATTTTAGGTAGAAGAGCAATGCAAGCTCTTAATGGCAGCACATGGTGGTTGTTGCTCTGAATGTTTTCTTTAACTGTATCAATAAATAACTTTTGTTATGATTTCCCTTCAGATTAATAAGATGATGATAGAAAGAATCTGAATCTTTGCTAAAATTGTTTTAGTGCATGTATGCATGAGGATGGACTTCAGTACGTTACTTTTTGTGTACTAATATTTTAGTCTGACATTGGTACAGAGCAGTAAGAACTGTATTTCTGCTAGCAGCAAGTTATTCTGAAAGTATAGCTTGTTGAAAAGCTTTTTAAAATGTGTTCAGTGTTAAATGTTTTAAAATGTGTGAGTATTAAACTTAGGAGTTTAATAGCATTGAAATTGTAATTGTAAAGGAAACAATTGGTGCCTTAATTTGTGGCGTTCTTCCAGCTACAAAAATCTGAGATCTAGCAGCTTGTCAAAATGACAGTTGCTATAATGAAGTAATACTTTATATTCAAGTTTCTTTGTGAAACCAAAGCGCTGAAACTCTGCGGAGGATGTACAAGTGTTCAGTGGCAACTATTAGCCACTGTAGATGTGTAACTTGGTGTGGATCTGTTGTGTTTGTGCTTTGAATTAAAACACCGAGACGTGTTTCGCCAACGATGCTTTTCATCTTTGACTGTTTATGACCCTAAAAGCTGGAGGGGTATTTTTAGTTAGGAAAATTCAAAGATAATAATTTTTGGCTTCCAGTTTTCAGATAATGAGAGCACGTGTCCTTCAAAAGCAGAACGTGCTGATCACAACAGTGATTGAGGTCCAAAATTCAAATAAGCCTTGTTTCTTTTTCGGTTTTTTTGTTAAAGTGAGCTAACAAAGCATCCAACAACCAAAGAGGCACTTAACATTGCTACACATCTCTCACGTAAAGTTTCCTGACTACTGTAATGGTGCTTGTGCCCAGAACTGATGTCTCTGAACAACTAGGTTTAAGTAGGACAAGTGAGTCCTGACTCATAATCCAGGAAGATTCAGAAAAGGCTCTCTGTGTGTATGTCCTGAAGGGTTTGATTCGGTTAGCATGCTCTGACCTTTAGGATAAGTAGGACTGGTTATTCCTCTGGTGGTTGCATTTTAAGAGAAGAGTGAGTGCTGGTTACTTCCAGGCATTAGGAAAGGATTCTGGACCTGCAGCCTGAATGGGGCAATGAAACTCAGTTTTCACATACGCTTCTGTTTACCATTTTCTATTGCCTACTCCTAAGTGACTCCCAACAGTGCAGGTTTTTGAATCAATCATCTGAGATATTTCTTTCCTCTTATGTAGGGAATCTAGACACTTAACTCTAAATGGCATCCAGGATGTCTTCTCATTCCAGCAGAACTAGTAGGTTCAGTGGATACCTTTGAAAGCACACCAGCAGCCGTTCTTGCTCTTAGGAGGCTTCTGCATTTTACTGTTTTCCTTTTTATTCAAAAGCCTAAACTTGCATCTGTTATTCATGTGCAGAACAGCAAACTGAACGCTGTGGTTCGTGTAACTTGTGCTGTAAAGAGAGATTTGTTTAAACTTAAATCACCAGCAGCATGCAAGAGCATCTCTCACATTCTGACATGGTCTAGTCTGTCTCCATTTCTAGATCTCTAAAACATGTTGACTTCTTCTGATTCTGTCAGTGCTCCTAGATTTGTCAGGCTGGCGAGCAAATGCCAAGTACTGTAATAAATACGGGTTTCTGTATGTGTTTTAGGCACCTTCTTTACAAGAACTTACAAAGTGCTTCTGTAACTATTTCACACTACACAATTAGCAGAATCTGGTACAGATTTGGAAGTGGCTTTTGACCCGAACATGAAGATTTCAGTCTCTTGATGCTGTTAAATATTTTCAGGTTTAAGCAATGTTCATGAAGATGACAGCTTTCTGGAACTGTCTGCACTGCAGTTTTACGAAAAAGAAAGCCAATTGTTGCAGGCAAAACCACTCAAACTTTGCATTTCACATAAAATGTCGGGGAGAGGAGAAATAAGCCTACAGAGAGCCTGCCTCTAATAAAAATCCCTCTTATCTCTGCAAACTTGCTGTAACTTACCGAACTCTGCTTCTTATTGTATCTTGTGTATATACATAGATATCTGTGCCTGAATGTTTGTATAGTTCCAAGTTACGCGTACTGGGGAACTTTTTCATTTCCACTAGGTTGTTGCAAATTTTCATTGTTCTGTTTTACTAGGCAGCTTGGTGTCATTCACCAGGTAGGAGCTACCAAAATGTGTGATGATGACGTTGTTTTCTGTATTCTATATATTATATTTTACTATGTATTTTTACCTCTGAGCTTTTCCAAGGAGAAATACTTTTTTTTTTTTTCCCCAACTTATCTTTAAAATAGATGAAGTAAGTATCTTTCTGTGAACAAATATTTTTGTTACTCTCTTTGAGATTCATTGTTATGGAAATGGTCTTGAATATAAAATTACTATAAATCGTATTTTGTAGAAGCTGTTGAATTGGCTCATTAGCACAGTATTTCCGTAATTTGCTGTACAGAGAAGATTTCCCTTCTCAGTATTTTAGGCAAAGGTGAAATGAGATAATGAGCTTTTAGTGACAAATTTTGGGATTTGAAATGTCTTGGTTTTACTTAATGTGTTTAGGTGTATATCTGTAGGAATGGACATAAGAAAACAAAAAGAGAGAGTTAAGAACAGTCCTGCAACAGCGTGTTCTACATTAAGGATTCTGTGCATAGCTAAAAGTATTACTGATAACTTTTAATTTTACTTAACTGGTTATATTAGTTCTGCATTTGTGCAAGATGGGAATCTTAAATACACTTTTTATTCAAAACAGACACATTGCCATACAAGAATCTGAGATGTCAAATGATACTGAAAATTGCTGTGATTCCGTGCTAAAAGGTAAGAGTCTTTGGAGATTTTTGGATGTGTAATCAAGAGAAGAAAGTAACCACGAAGATGTTCAGTGGCAAAACCTTGGCTTTCTGCTTTCCACATAAAATGAGAACGTGTCAGTTCAGTAATATCTTTTGATAGTAACAGCAGTTTGTTTCCTAATGCATATAAAATGGATGTCTTTTGAAATGGTACAACCCTGAGCCTTGCAGGGAACTTCTGCTTCTCTGTAGTAGTTGTCTGTTGGTAGTGCTGGGGGGGTTTTGTTTTGGTTTTGGTTTTTTTGACATCTCTCTGATACTTCAGGCAAGGAATTCTGTTAGTTAATGAGATGATAGTAAGACACTGAGTACTGTGATACTGCTTTGGAGTGTGACTCATAATCTCACGTGGTTGTTCTCTTGTGTTCATCAGCAGACAGAATTTTATAATAGGTTTTTTTTCTAGGTTGTACTTTGGTTTTTTGCAGATGCTATGCCCGTTCCTCTGAAACTGTTTTGTTTTTTAAGGATGCTTATTTTTTTGAGAGAAGAATACTTCTGACTTAATTTTAAGCAGAACAGTCCAACTAGGCAGCATCTGAATGTGATTTGTTTTGGTTTTTTACAGCTTGCCTATAGACCTATTATGCAAGGTATGTCTGATGTGGAAGTTTCTCTTGGATAGGTTGGAGGAACAGGATTTTGGCTTTGAACAGAAACTCGTAACTGACCGACTGCAGAAGACATAAAGAGCTCAGACTGGTTTTAAAGGTTCTCGGTGTTTCCCTGTCTGGTGTCCCATTTGTCAGCTTACTGTTAATCTGGCACTCTGCTGTTATGTATTGATTTTGCTGCAGGCTTGAAAAGTGTCTGTGACAGTACGCCTTTTCATGTTAATGTGTTATGTTTATGTAGGAGGAGTGAGTGGTTTGGGCGGGTGTAGCCCCCTGGAGAAAAAGAAGTGAATAGTGACTATTTGGGAGAGGGAAAGTTTCAGGCTTCGGTGATTAGAAGACAAAATGAAAGGTAATGAGGGTTTAAGAGCTCAGGCACCAAGAAATAGACACAAGTTCCTTGAGGAGGAGTAGGGAGGAAGTACACAGTTAGGCCTCTGGTGATGTAAAGAGCCAGAGGGGCTTGTACCATGGCATCTGCAGTACTGAGATGATTTAAACCAAACCTGGGAGCAAATCCTGTACTATATATTAACTTCTGCATTTTCTTAGGCTGTTTGTTGTCTGTCTTCATGTTCTAATGAAGTTTGAGGCTAGAAGTCTCTGGGTCCTTTAGTGGTGCTTAAAGAAAAGGGTTTAAGTAGGTACTTCTTCCTAGACCTGAGAAACTGAGGATCACATCACACTCTTAGATTAATATGCACATGGTAACTTGGGTTTGATGTATGAACAGAAGAAAGGTGCCTGGTTTTGGTAATTACTGACAATTTATGTGTTTATTTAGAAAGACTTATTACTGCTTTGGGGTCCTGTGTTATGTAGTGAGGTCGTGGCTCCTTGTCTCAGTGGCTTCACAGTCTAAGAAGGGCAACAAATTCTACAGTTAAGGTATTCTGGATGATACCAGTCCTCTTCAAGAGGAAATCTTACGTACGTTGTCTTCAAGTAGATGTGTCTTATACTGATGATCATACAGAGACTAGTGACTGTAAGATAAAAGCCTTTCCAATAGTAATCTGATTCTTTCTTCCTGTATCTGGACAACGCAGTGGGGTTGAAATTCATTCATGTGATCCAAGGAAATAGTGAATGTCTTTTCTATGCAGAGCTCTTCAGTTGTACATAAGCAGCTGCTTCAGAGAGCTGCAGTCAGATATTCTGTTCATTTCCTGTGGCATCTGCAAAAGGTGCTGAAATTTCCTGACACTGAATTCTCATTGATTTTACTGTATTACAGGAATTTGGAGTTTCTCAGATTTATCTATATTTAGTTCAGGGTTGCATCATGTCATTACGATTAACTTATCCCCTTCTCCAGCAAAGGCTAAGTCTTTCTTTGCTTAGCAGATTACCATACGTATCTTTGGCAGTGTTTTAATAACAAAGCTTAACTAAATTTATTTCTAAGATACTGAATTCAATATTATATAAATAAACCTGTTGTACTGTTCTATAGGGCCTATTACAAAACATACAGCTTGGATAGAATTTTAATTGCAGATTCAGTTTAATATTTGTTTGAAATGATTCGTGCTTTAAAGGTGAAATAATGTTATATATAAATTTCACATTTAGGAAGTCCTAGGAGTTTTTAAATGTCATTAGTATTAAGGCTTTGTAATATTTAGGAAATAAAAGCTTTGTTGTCTTGTAGCATGGGAAACACATAAAGTAATGTGTTTATGCATTTTCAGCTAAAGATATTAACACCCACACCTCCTCCGGAGAAAGCAGTCCTTTGGGAGGTGTTACTGAGGACTTTCTTGAAGATGGGCGACTGAGAGAACTAGATGAACTTTTAAAGAATTTTGACGTGGATGAAAAGGTACTGAGAAATCATGCTTTCTGTCACTAAATAGTTTAAGAAATGATAGTCCATATAATTGGAGAATTTTAATTACTAATGCTCTTTTATCAAGAAAATTTTTAATTTCCTGTAATAAAAAGAATATTAGCATTTCATAGATTACTGTGCTATTGACAGTGTAAGTTTTGCTTGACAGAGCTTGGGTTTTTTTTAACCTTGTCACTAATAACTCATCTTCAGATTTGAAATGAAACAAGATATGTTCTATCAAGTGTTACAGTAATTCTGTATTACCAGTTGTCTGAAAATTACTGTTCCAGTGAACACCTCAGAGTACTCCTGTGCCTATGTGCCATTTTTACATAACATACCTCGTTTTAAAAGTTGGTGTTAAATGCTTCTCACCACACAGTCTCAGAAGGATGGGGTGGTGTTGAAAAACTGGGGAGCTGCACAGCCATCATGCATCCAAGGGAAGGGCCATTACCTTAACATACTGACTTCCTGGCAGTTCAGAGGGAACATGAAGCCATTTTCATGCTCGCTGACTTTGTATGACCTTTCTACTCTCTCCGTCCTCCTTCCTCTAGATAATAAGTCTAGGTCTTTTAAGACTTGCTGAAGTTTTATACTATTTCCTTCTTTGATAATGGAATGGAATTTACATCTCACTGCCACTCAGATGTAGCTGCAGATAGCGTTTACTGTTTTCCACTACTTCAAGAGTGGATAATGGTTTTGAGTGGATAAGCTAAACTGTAAAATTCACATGGCTAAAAACTGGTAAGTGATTGATAAGGTAATCAAACAGTAAGGAATCGGTTTCCCTGGCAAAATCGTTATTTAAAAGCAGAATAGAAACATTTCCTTCAGCAAACGGAATTGGGGCTGTTAACATCTGATTCACAAAGTGAACAGCGCTGTTTTATTCCCTGACCTCTTAGAGAGGGTAAAAAGGTCTGTCAAATATTATAGATTAGTGGAGGTGTAGTACTTGTTGCAGTATTGCCAGGTCGATCCCAGTTGGGCTTCTTTGTAGTGGTGTGGCTTTATAAAATCATTGTCCTCACGTTTGCTTTTCTGTGCTGTGTTGGACAACAGTAAGTAACTACAACTGATCTCACCCAAACCTCAAAGTTAACCAAACTGAAGCAACGAAATACATGCTACAGCCCTAAACCTATTCCTGTATGTGGATGAAAAACTAGCTGTGCAGATCTGGGGAGGAAGTGGAATGGCAGAACACTGGTTGCAAGTATTCTACTGTTTGGGGTGATTTGGGGGTTTTGATGGCTTTTCCAACTAATAATGCTGTGAAAAGGACAAAAACTAACCACAGAGAAAACCCTAAAAATATTTGGGGAACTGGTAAAATGAAGTTTGGAAAACCAATGAGAGCATATCTATCTCTAATTCTTTGGCTATCATAAATTTGTGATATCATGTGAAGTTCAAGTTACTTCATGAATAATGGACAAAACAAAGCCAGGATTCCATGACTTTGTTCTGTATCAATCCTTTCAGGTTCTCACTCGCAAATATGTTAGCTGCTGTCTTTTTTTCTCCGTATCTTTGGGGATTTTTTTACTAAAACCCTTAGATTCCTCCTCAATACAGCTTTAAATTTTCATTAAAGTTGATGAAATGTCTTTTGTGGGTTTCTACGGATCTGTCAAGCGCAGTTAAAATTGAGAAGTGGGTCTGAAAATTGCTGGGATTATCAGTGGGAGCAAAGAGAAGTGAAGACAATCCTGTCACCTTTTTTTCCAATTAAAAATCACTATTTTAAAGATCAGAGTATAATGACAGTGTGTCCATTTAAAAAGACGGTGTAAGAGTAACCCTGCAGTCCAAAGTACAGTTTTTACAGTCAAGACTATATTGTCACACCTTCCAACGATCACTAACAGTATTAAGCCTGTAGTGTAAAGTGTAACAGGCTTAGTTGTGCTTTGCTGTATCTGAAAGTACATTTTAAATATCTTCACAGTTCAGGTTTGCAGGTGGAATGCCTGATGTTAAACAAGGAAAAAAAAGCAAAGCTGAAAAACGGTATGTATACTGTGTCCTTCATGTAACCTGTGATGTTCCCCAGTTACTGTACAAATGAAATGTGATGTTTTTTACCAAAACACCGTCAGCATTTTAATTCAGTGTTTCTATGTTATTGTGACTATGTGGTGAAGAGAATAAATATGTGAAATAATATAATTTCACTGTGCAAAGTACAAGACAAGTATAGTCATAGCCTGACAGGACAGTAGAGGTTATTTTGTCCTCTGGCTGGTGACGAAATGTATCCACTTTATGCCAGTGTCTCACCTTGGCATCTCAATGTGAGTATTGCGTAAGAAACATTTTCAGCCACAATAGCGCTTACCAGAACTTTAAAAAAAAAATCAATGAAACTTTCAGCTTTCTTTTCTGCTTCTTGGGACTTTCTCAACTGATGAAAGAATTGAAAGATCTCATTCAAATTCAGGCTGACAAATATTTGAACAGCAGTAGAAAAAGGTGCTTAAAAACGTGGCATGTGGAGTTAAGCGCGTGCTTTACTGTTCTGCTAGCTTCAAGCTGCACTTAGAGTGTTTATTGTACGTATGACTTAAAGTGTCGGTCAGACTAAGAAACTTCCATTTGACATCAACCCAAAAATGAAGCCAAATAAGACTTTGTAGAAAAAGTATGCTTAACTGATGGAATACTTAAGTAATTAGAAGATAAATAACTGATATTTCAGAGTCATTTTCACAATAATCAAGAAATTGTACCTGGTGTAGAAGAGGGTATTGCTTTTTTCCAGCACCAGTCACATTTCTGTGACAGACTTGAAGTGTAGCAGAAGTCCATGAAATGGAGAATATTGCATCTTTTCGTTAATCCACTAGAGAGCTCCAAGCTCCTCCTTCTGGTAAAATACCATTTAAATTTAGCTTAGTAGCATAAATGGTTCTTTATGCTATGGAATAAGTAGATTATGCTGGATAAAATACATTTGTGCAAGTGATACTGCATTACTTCACTTCCTTAGTTAAAATGCAGCACTCTGCGGTTAGAGAAGAGGCGTTTATTCCTTCATTTGGAGTCAAACTGTTTTCTCTAGTTTTACTCAGAAATGTTACCATTGCAAAGTTTCATCTAGAAGAAAACATAGTTACTGTTCTTATTTAGCAAACTCCACTTCTAGCGATGCTGTTGCTTAAAAGAAGTTGTTGATTATAGGGCTATATAACTTATAGTTCCTGGCAAAATTGTGTGTAGTTTCATGTATAGATTAAAAAGAGAGCTGAGATTTGTTATCCTGAAGGTAAACTGCTATGAAAATCCTGTTGTGTCAGATCTGAGGCTGACATCACAAGGAAGCATAAGAAAAACTTTACATAGTAAGTTCAAAATTCTGAGTGACTAGAGCTGCAGATTTTTTTCCTCTGGAGACCAATACAATACATTGACTAGAATAAAAATAAAGACTCTTAGTGAAGAATTGGGGTTTATTAGATAGAATTTATTCTTCTCTGCCATAGCATTTTTATTTCAAACTGTATTAAAAACAGCCTGCAATTTAGGAAAGATTTGAATTGTCCTGGCTATGAGAAGTATTAGATAGCTAGAATGTGCCCCTCATAGGGGATAGCATGTCTTTTTTCTGTCTCCAAACAGCAAGCAGGCTGAAATGTCCTTTTTACTGAACCTAGATTCTTAATTGAAAGGGGGAGGAGAAGAAGATTGCATGAAAGGGGATTATTTTTTTCTGTGGCTTTATTTACAAATAAGAAAGATATCACTTAAGTATTTTGCTAGCAATATTTGTAGCTTATTTTGGAAAACATCACATTTCAGTAGTTGAATTATCTGGAATGTACATACTTGGGAATAGTTAAAGGCAGAACAGTCTTTAATTGGAGTTGCCTTTGAAATCACCTAAATTTTCTGCCGAGTAGAGTCAGTTATTAGGAAAGAAGACATTTGGCTCTTCAAATGTGATTTCAAAAGCTTTGTGGATTACTCCTTTGGCAGATATGACGTAACAGACTACTGAAAAGTAGATGCTTCTTCAGAGGTGACGGAAATCATCTCAGTCTTCCTGTCAGTGTAGTGGAAAAAAAAATAGAGGTTGTTCACAGGTGCCTTTTCTACTTACTTACTGAATTTCATATAGTTACACTTTAGGAAAGAATAATCTCAGCTAAGATCATAATCAGATTGGACCAGGCAATGAAAGTAATGAAAGTAAAGTAGTTGGGACGGCTAGCTATTTAAATTTATGGCAAGTTTTGAAGTGGTGTGTAAATTGTTGCGGTAATTCTCATCTTTTATACGCTTAATCCGCCTTTTAGGCATTTAGTATTTGGGAGAAGCACCTCTTTAATTTGGTTAAACAAATTTTTGTTTTTTAATACTCAACAGTAACTGTAAATACAAGGATGTTGTGAACTGTGAATTGCTCTCAGGATTGCCGTCGCATGCCCCGAAAGTAAATGTCCTCAGTGAAGCCACAGTGATGAAACCCCGGACAAATGGTATTGTATGCTATATTGGTGAACCCTCCAGAATGTAATTTTAAATGTGTTTTATTTACCTATAAAATCTTAAGGAATTTCTTCAATTCCTGAAGGCATTGACTAGAATTTGTTTTAGTTTGCATACATAGAAGCAAAAATGTAAGCTCTCATGATACATTAGTGAGGTATAGAATCCTATTTGGTAGCAGAATCCTATTTGGTAGGGTCAAATAGCAATCATTCTATCTTGGTATTTATGGTTCTCACATAGTTTAGTGGTACCTGCAGCAATACCTGCATTCTTAGTATTTTGACACATTGAGTTTGAGCCGTGTTAGGGGGATTCTAGCCCATGAGTTGGCGGGGCTGATTGAGAGGGCTTTAAACTGGGTTTGAAGGGGGAAAGGGATAAAACCCAGCGCACTGGAGATGAGTCTAGGGGTGGCAGGCCAGTCTTAGAGGGGAGATCGATAGCCCAGCTGAAGTGCATCTACACCAATGCACGCAGCATGGGCA